TGAAGCAGTACAGGTCGTTGCCTTTTCTGGGGAAAACTGCAAAAGTACTGAGGTATGAATTTTATAATTGGACCCTCCCGGTAAAGTTTCAAGCCTCACTTTTTCTTTAATAAGCAAATCAATGCTGCACTATGTTCTGTTGTTACTATTATTACTGTACATTACCAATTGATGGATCCAAGAGCGGAGAAAATATATTGAATGTGTTATTTGATTAAACGCAGAGTCTTATTTAAATAGCGTTATATTTTGGTACCACCACCACCACTTGGAACGCTTCTAGATTATCCACTGTATATTGTTACGACATTGCATTAATGTATACGAGTTTATCTCAGAAGTTTGTCTTGACACATGGATGTAAATAGTTGTACATGAAGTATAAATTTGGATTGTAATGTCCCCTGAGTTAATTATCAATCCTGTTTGGCCAATGAATGTTGTTATGCCCACGTCATGCTGAAATCAACTCTTTTTCTTAACAGCCGTAACAAGATTGACATGCAATTAATTCTGGGAACATTCCTGCCAAAACCACTGAAGTGCCCTATTTACTTCACAAATAAATAACCAAACTCATTATGAATCTTTAAATTGCCCCTCTGAGACTTATTTTCTTTGACCCGTGGAACAGACCTTCATTGTATCGATCCTGACAAATGAGGACCAGTGTCTCGACAAACTGAACAAAGCCTTTATTGTAATTAAGCATTCAGTCAACACTTATGTGCTAGCAAAACACTTAAATGCTCGTCCATCATCATAATTTAATCTATTCGCAACGCTAATTAGACAAGTGCTGAGATGTTACCAAAATAATGTAAAATTCGTGGCTGTTTTCTTAAAAATCCTGGACTCTCCGAAGATTGTTTTGTTTCTCTATTATTTTAGTCCCTTTCCTTGTAACTCACTGTGGACACGAGGGGAGGTCAATAGGTTTTGTGAATGGGTGATTAAATGTACACACAGACTTATTAGTTTTTTTAATAAACTGTAGCAGCCTATAACATCGAGGCACTTAAGCTATTTTACGTTATGCCCCTGGGTTATGGCTTCAAAATAAGCTTAATGCTAGGTTGGGTGTGACTGTTAACATCACAAAACCCTATTGATTTCCTGTAGCGTGCGTGTACCCTATTATTATTTTACGTGCAAACACGTAATATGTTGGTTGGTACAATGTATAATTATATAATTTCATATAATTCACAGCATACAAACATACTGCATTTATACATTTTTGAAACGTTCAGAATATCTGTAAAGTAAGGAATGGAAAACATTGTTTTAATCAGAAAGCCTTTCCTAAAAGTAACATGTAATGAATAACGTGGTCCAGTCAGCAATTTACACCTAACAATACCCTCATATTGCCCAATTGTAACCGATGACCTAAGCTTGCAGTGTTGATGATTAGTTTTTTTTTAAATAACCCATTTTAACGTATGTGTTGTAAATGTTGATGCTTTTGTTTTTTTCTGCCGCGTTGGGGGAGTACTCACATCCCAATTAAAAATTGAGGTGGCCAGCATCGTAACGCTCTGAACCGTGTTAATCAAATGGTCTGAATATTATTTTATAGGGCACTTTACCTGTATCAGTCTTCAATGAGTGATGAAAAAGTGAGATTTACGAATAAGGTTAGGTAAAGGTGCAGTTCTTCAATTACTCGCTCATGCCACTGCTGGTCGAGCATCCTCCGCCAGAGGGAGCTCTAGAGAGCCTCTGTAAAGGTTATTTTGGTCTACTCTTCCACGCTGATGATTATTGATGGTAATAGTAATGTTAGTGATACCAATAATAATAATTTAACAACAGCTTGACTGGGTGTTTTTCAGGTCTATAAAGTGGTAGTGTCAAACGAGGGCAAGTCCTGGTTTGTGTTGGGTCGCTATGCCGAGTTTTACAAGCTGTACCAGAGTGTGAGTATCCGTAACCGTCCACACACTCACATGGGCACACATCATACACAGGCTCACGTGGAGCCAAAGCTGGTTAGCAGGAACCTGTTAAAGCTATCGTGGCACCCAAGGAGATGGTGTGTTTAAAAATACACATCATCCACTTCCTTTGCCTTCCCCAGGACTGATTTAAAACATACTAGATGGTTAACTTGATTTGGGCTAAGTCAACCTAGAAGAGGTGCAAGGCAAGTGCACATAATCTTTACCAATGGCGTCATGCTTCACAGAGGAGTTTGCCAAAGGTCACTGCCTGTTAGTGCAATAACATTATGCTAAATACTTTTACATAACTTCCAATGCACGCACATATACCAGCTATTTTCCACTCAGTGGTAGTGACATCACCACAGTGCTTGTGCCAGGCTAGGTGCTCTTTGAAGCCATATGAATGGAGCATCGTACACTCACTGGCAGGAAGTCACAGGCCCCGGTGTTATGGGTTAACTGCTTGAAATGAATAAAAAAAAGCACCACTCATACTAACTGCCATTCTCCATTAAGCGTCGGTGACATTGCTACCTGAAAAAATACTTCTAGGTTTGAATGGGGTCCTAGGTCAACTCCTACCCCCATAGTGAGCCTACTAACTTTCTTATTGAGCTGATTTGGCCAATGCCTTCAAATCACCCCTGCCCAAGTGCTAGGTTCATGACCCGCTCAGGCAATAAATCACCTAATAATATTACTGTCCTAAAGGGCAACTTTGGCCAACATCTAAGAGAGTAGGTTATATACGGCATCTGACTCATCAGCCTTGCCTGCATCCCTCCACAGATGTCCATCTTCTGTGGGACCATAGAGAGCCACCGCCACCATTCTCACCTCCTGGTGATGAAAAAGAAAGCCCACAAAAGCCCCGGGAGTCACAGCCACCCACACACCACTGGCAAGCTCAGAGGCTCCCTTCATTCATTATTTATTCAAATAAGAGCCACTCGCCACTCTTTTTTTCATGTTATCCTGCCCAAAGTTGAGTGACTGGTCAACTCCTCATGGTGACAAGAGCCAAAACCAGTTGGCTGAAACGCCTCTATTCCACAGAGGTCCAGGTGGTACTAGTCCAGGTCCCAACAGAGAAATGGAAGGCTCTCCTCCCCAGTGAACATTAAGACTTTACATGTGGCGAGCTATAGCAATTATCTTTTGTTTCTTGAGGCTCCCCAGAGGGCGTTTTCGTCCTCTGCCCATGCCAAATGGGGTTTGGTCATTAGACGCCATGAATGCCCGCTCCCATGGGGCCTCCCAATTTATTTGAATTACCTGTACATGAGGGGTTTACCAGCCGCTCACTTGGGTTCAGAGCCCGCATCTGATACTGTTGTGGATCTGAATATAACGTGAGTGTAACCAGTTGGTTAACATCAGCCTTTCCCCAAATAGCATTTTTGACAGTACACCACAGCGTTACCGTCTGGTGCCATGAGGAGTTGGGGGGTTGTTTTGTCAAACAACAAGGACACATGCACTATTACACACACGCATGCATGCATGTATTAATCTTGGTTGACACATGCAATTTCATAGCTAACAGGTGTGTTGCTATTGAATGTGTGCACAGTTAAAGAACACATTCCCGGAGATGCACCTCAAGTTTCCACCAAGGAGAAATTTTGGCAGTCATTTTGATCCCGGTGAGATTATTTGGCGCACTATTTTTTCGTGCAGACAAAGACACACACACACACCATATACAGTGAGGGAAAAAAAGTATTTGATCCCCTGCTGATTTTGTACGTTTGCCCATTGACAAAGAAATGATCAGTCTATAATTTTAATGGTAGGTTTATTTAAACAGTGAGAGACAGAATAACAACAACAAAATCCAGAAAAAACGCATGTCAAAAATGTTATAAATTGATTTACATTTTCATGAGGGAAATATGTATTTGACCCCCTCTCAATCAGAAAGATTTCTGGCTCCCAGGTGTCTTTTATACAGGTAACGAGCTGAGATTAGGAGCACACTTTTAAAGGGAGTGCTCCTAATCTCAGCTTGTTACCTGTATAAAAGACACCTGTCCACAGAAGCAATCAATCAATCATGCAAGATCTCACCTCGTGGAGTTGCAATGATCATGAGAACGGTGAGGAATCAGCCCAGAACTACACGGGAGGATCTTGTCAATGGTCTCAAGGCAGCTGGGACCATAGTCACCAAGAAAACAATTGGTAACACAATACGCCGTGAAGAACTGAAATCCTGCAGCGCCCGCAAGGTTCCCCTGCTCAAGAAAGCACATATACATGCCCGTCTGAAGTTTGCCAATGAACATCTGAATGATTCAGAGGACAACTGGGTGAAAGTGTTGTGGTCAGATGAGACCAAAATGGAGCTCTTTGGCATCAACTCATATCGCCGTGTTTGGAGGAGGAGGAATGCTGCCTATGACCCCAAGAACACCATCCCCACCGTCAGACATGGAGGTGGAAACATTATGCTTTGGGGGCGTTTTTCTGCTAAGGGGACAGGAAAACTTCACCGCATCAAAGAGACGATGGACGGGGGCATGTACCGTCAAATCTTGGGTGAGAACCTCCTTCCCTCAGCCAGGGAACTGAAAACGGGTCGTGGATGCGTATTCCAGCATCACATTCACCCAAAACACACGGCCAAGGCAACAAAGGAGTGGCTCAAGAAGAAGCACATTAAGGTCCTGGAGTGGCCTAGCCAGTCTCCAGACCTTAATCCCATAGAAAATCTGTGGAGGGAGCTGAAGGTTCGAGTTGCCAAACGTCAGCCTCGAAACCTCAATGACTTGGAGAAGATCTGCAAAGAGGAGAGGGACAAAATCCCTCCTGAGATGTGTGCAATCCTAGTGGCCAGCCACAAGAAACGTTTGACCTCTGTGATTGCCAACAAGGGTTTTGCCACCAAGTACTAAGTCATGTTTTGCAGAGGGGTCAAATACTTATTTCCCTCATTAAAATGCAAATCAATTTATAACATTTTTGACATGCGTTTTTCTGGATTTTGTTGTTATTCTGTCTCTCACTGTTCAAATAAACCTACCATTAAAATTATAGACTGATCATTTCTTTGTCAGTGAGCAAACGTACAAAGTCAGCAGGGGATCAAATACTTTTTTCCCTCACTGTATGTATGAAGGTCATTATGTGCCCTAAGCAGGGATGATATTTTGGGTCTAGTATCACCCACCTTGTTATGAATCCCATCTGCCCATAGGCAACAGGCATTTCTGCTTCCTGGGGTAATTGGACCGCGTTGGACACTGCGTTCATTATATATTTATAAACTGTGTGCATCTCACTTAATCTTCCATGGGACAATATTGCTCTGCTCCTCCTTGTGCTTAGTGGGGACAGCTGCAGACACTGCAAATATGGGCCATGGTTGTCCATCACGTGCAAGGGTAATTTGAAGGTGATGTTTTAAAAACTGAATGCAGTGTAGCAAGAGAGTACAACGAAGAATGATATTGTAACCTGCACAGTGATACCCACAAACAAGTTTTTTTTTTAAAGGTCATGTCAACACATTGTGAATCGTACACCGAACCTGCATTTCACCTGACATAGGGTATTATTCACATTAATATAGTTCTTAACCCAGGGGTCAAGGACCTTGTCATTTATGCATTTACACACAAGCACGACTTGGTAATATTATGTTGTTGAAGCAGGTGCGAGCCAGTTAGGCTGTACCAACTGCAGTAGGGGGTGTACATCATATCGTTCCAGTATGGCTGGGTGGCTCTAAAAGTCAATGATAATGACAATATCGCAATAATGAGTGAAGTTAAAGATGCAGCCCTGGAATTACGTAAACACATTACTGTTGACGCATAGGCCTCCACTAAAGGGAACTCTAGAAAGTACTTAAAGAATGTGTTTTTCCTACTTTTCCACGTTGGCCAGAGATCTTGGAATAGGTTAGAGAACCCACACTCTACCCCACCACACGCGATCTGCCTTTCAATATACTCTGGTGTATTCATTTATACTGCTTGGTTGACAGTGGCGGGGAAATTTAAGGAACGTGGCCCATTGCTTGAACTTATGCGCCGGGAAACCTCAACCGATGACCTCTGGATACAAGTCCAGTATGCTAATCGTTCCATAAACACAGTATCCCTACAGAGTACTTGGGTTTAAAAAAAAACGAATAGAAGCCTGAGATTAAACCAAGCTCTCGCGTGGAATGAGTTGGCACGTGCAGGTCAATCGCTAATGACCCATATGAAAAACAATGTTTGTCATTAAAAACAATTCTTCACTTAAGTCATATCATTCCAACACCGAAGGATTTATTTGTGAAATTGCTACGCATTTATTCAGCAGAACTGTACAAAGAAAGGCCCTCACTCTTCACAGTTAAAGAAAGTGCAGCCTACATATAGAACATTAAAGGTTTTTAATGTATTTTTAGCTCTGAGTTTCCGCAATAAATCGTGTGGCTCTGCTGTTTAAAGCAATGACCCAGATTTATGTTTTAATCATGGTTGCTGAACAAAGGCCAAAGTGTCTAATCCACCGAGTGGCCAGCTGCAATGAAAGATAAAAATATAAATAAAAACTACTTCACGATATGTTCAGATGCTTCTAGCACAATTTAGATTGAAATAATGTTTTTTTATACAAAATTTTGTTTCACAAAAAATGTGACGATTAAATATAAGCTATTTCAAAAAAATCTATTTCTGATCTAGAGCATTTGATCATTGAGGGAGATTAATAAAATTACTTAAAAATGTATAAACGTTGAACTTATTTCTTACAGTACGTAGCCAACCGTGATCATCGGGGAGGGGGTAATTGTCATAACCATGTCCAGAAGGACATTGTATGAAGACAAAAATGGATAAAGGAATGCACGAGAGGAATGTGCTTCAAAATAAAACAAGGCATCCGTGTTTAACGACATACACCACCACGCCCGTGCCACCCATCACAGGTCTACTAAAGGAGACGTTGTGCTGCACAAAAAGTCATACAATTGTAGCGTCTCATCCAGTAGTTGCGTCCATTATATATTTAAAAAAAACCGGCATGGCCTTTTTAAGTAATATTTAAAGGTTGATGTTCTCATTCTTTTCAAAAGTAGCTTTACTTTTGCTGTGACACCTGATTTTTTTTCTTCCGATTGGTAGTGTTGGATTGCGTTCAAGCAAATTATTTCATATTGCTGTTAGGCAATAATTCCTAGTGGATACTTAGCCACATTTAGTTCACAACAGCGACTTGCGTGTCACCGTGCAACGATCAAACGTAGACGAATCAAACATCCTGAATAAACCAAAATACCAAGACATCTTGTGCAAGCAAGTGGCTTCATAATTTCGTCTATAATTTAATATGTTTAAGAAGTTTTTTTGAGCCGAATATATAAGATAGAACTACCGCCACCCTTTCTCTGCCATTGCTAAAACATGGCCGTCAAGAATGAACCAACTAAACGTCGATCGTGCACCAAAATGAGAGCAGTTGCCACAATGCTTGTTGGTATGTATGACAATTCCAAATATGTACCGATATACGGCTACGATTTGTAAGCGCTCTGAACAGTTAATATGGTGTATCTAACTAACTGTGTTCCTCTAATTCTAAGAATGCATCTCTCTCTCTCTCTCCATACTTTTTGCCCATTTGCAGCCTTTCTTAAAATTTTCTTTTTTAATGTCCATGTTTCTAATCCTTACGTCATAGCAGGCAATGTGCATGGATTCATATTTAATTTTTTGTTTGCACTTTGGTATATTGTTTTTAATAATCAAATTCACTTTTCCAAGACCACTGCAACCTCCTGTCGCCCACCTCTTTATTTTATGTTTGCTGTGTTGGGTGGAGGAGGGTTTACGACACACATTTTACTTTCGCGATCTGACCCAAAAAAGATATCTTCTAAATCATGTGGATCTTGGTCACGTTCTATGACTGCCCTAGCTCTACAGATATCGTCAACTGTTTATACAATTTGCTGTTCATGACATTGCTTTGACTCGCATTAATCACGAGCCCAACTTTTAAGTAATATTTATGAAGCTATTTAATTAATTCCCGTAGTTCATCGCAATTGGTTGTTAAAGTGACCATCTCATCAGCAAATCTTGTTAATATCGTGAATGTTTTCTCCGTTTACGCTTATACCTTTATTTCTCCAATCCATTGTTTTCCCTTGGAAATCATATTCTAACGTTGCTGCAACTAACGTTGTACCTTTTTACTATCTTCTGTGGCTGTGAAAAACTTTGAATGAATCAAATTGGCTTGGGCAGGACGCATTCCTTGAAGGGATGCCGGTTGGTGGTCGAGGCGGACGACAGAGCATGCCCTAGAGTACAACGACCGTGGAGTTGAAGAGACGAGATCAGAAACTAGCTAGATTGTTGCATTTGTGAGATCACGAGGGCTCGCGTCAGCAGTGGATAGGTCACGGCTGATGATTGTGATCATGATGAGGCTCCATGGTAAAACAATTATTATCGCGTAACTCGCACTCAATTTGACAGTAAACAACACACATCATGGTTTTTTTTTAATGATTTTAAGCGAATTTAATTCCGACATTAATGAGCATGCGTACGACATTAAAAAAAATCGTGAAAACAAACCGCATCTATTTATGAAAAGTCACATTGGCTAATGTGACTTTTCTAAAATAGAGATCTACAGTAACTGCTCTGTTATCTTAAGAACGTTTTATTTAGTTTAAAACCTCTTTATCAGGATCGTCCTGCTTTGGACATGTTTGGTGTTTTTGTGTATTTTTGCGAGTGAACATTTATTTATAGAAATACAGTACACGGAGAAAACATGTCATGGGAGAGGGCAAAAACTAAATACATGTATTATGACAAAACAAACCACATTATATATGTGACGTTAATTATGTAGCTAATTCTGCTTTACTTTGAATACATGTGTCTGTAGAACTGCAGTCGTATTATATAATGGATGTATTGACTGTTTAATGTACTTGCGATCTCTGGATGTCAAAACTCTTAAAGCATTAACTCATGAACTAAATTCATAGCAAACACATTTAAAACGTGGAATTTTTTTTCACTAGCTTTTATGCCCGTCCAAGGACGGGTGTATATTGCAGTAAATCTGGAATATTAAATAGCAAAATTGTTTAGCTCATAATTATTAATCCCCTCATGGTTATTGTGGAGGGGTGCTGCATGTAGAGTGACGTCACCCCCCTCAAGGTTATTGTGGAGGGGTGCGGCATGTAGAGTGACGTCACCCCCCTCAAGGTTATTGTGGAGGGGTGCGGCATGTAGAGTGACGTCACCCCCTCATGATTATTAATGCAGGGGGGGGGGAGTTGCCCCATGTAGAGTGACGTCACCCCCTCATGGTTATTGTGGAGGGGTGCGGCATGTAGAGTGACGTCACCCTCATGGTTATTGTGGAGGGGTGCGGCATGTAGAGTGACGTCACCCGCTCATGATTATTAATGCAGGGGGGGGGAGTTGCCCCATGTGGAGTGACGTCACCCCTCATGGTTATTGTGGAGGGGTGCGGCATGTGGAGTGACGTCACCCGCTCATGATTATTAATGAGGGGAGGGGTGCGGCATGTGGAGTGCGCGACCTCGTGCGTTCGTGTAAATTTCCACGCGGGCATGAATATTAATGAAGGGGCGGGGCCTCGTTTGCAGTGACGCCACGCACGGATGTAACACTGTGCTGCGTAGATTTATATTTTACCATCACTCTCTGCAAAGAAACGTCGTCATATTTTGAAGCGACTTTGCGTAATTAATTATTGAATTCAGCTCGACCTTCCTCTGCGTTCGTGTAAAAATCCACCCATTCATGAATATTAATGAGGAGGGGGCCCACGTGGAGTGACGTCACGCGGACGGGTGGGCATATGTTGAGTTGTGTCACGCGCAGGACGGACAGACACTGAGATCCTGCATTGCCACCCATAAATAAACGACGTTATGAAGTGTATTCTTGGTTCTTTCGGTAAAGTCACCACGTAGAAGGGAAACAATAAAATAATAAAAATATAAAACAATAAAATTCTCACGACGTTTCGACTGCAACACAAGCAATCATCATCAAGTGTGAAAACCACAACAAGAAAATTAAAAAGTGTTGGTTTTCACACCTGATGATTGCTTGTGTTGCAGTCGAAACGTCATGAGAATTTTATTGTATTATTTTATTGTTTCCCTTCTACGTGACTTTACCGAAAGAACCAAGAATATTAATCCCTGCAGTCACGAAAGCTTTAAATAAAAATGTATGAAGTGTAGTTAGTTGATAGTCTCAACCATTGACTTCATCATCGCATGACAAACAAAATACAGTATTCAGGGCATTATACTTAGGTGGCAGTGATGGTGCTCAAAGTCGACCAGTGGAGGATATGTGTGTTATTATGTATTGCGTGTTCTTTTTTTTACTTCAGCTTTTCTTAAACACCGGAAAACTGGTTTAAATGACTTCACGCAAAAAGTGGTGTCAAACCCCGGCATGTGCCAAAAGTAAGTAGCATGCGTGTGTGGTTTAACAGGCAATTTGTATGGTTTTTGTTGTATAATCTCACATCTTGAGTTTACGTCTCATTACTGTACATGCAATTTTATCACAAGATGCATTATATCTGATAGTTGTTTCTCATCGTAGTATCATTACGCGTTTGTAGTTCTTGGACCCAGTGAACACGGTGCAGGAGAGATCAAAAACGAATATTGATTCTGCATCTTATGCCGTGAAGGCGATAGATACCACAATCAGGCTAAAATTGTGCTAGCAGATTTAAAGAAAGAAAAAACGCTTTTAAATGCCTCAGTATTTCATATAAATAAAGAGGTCTGTTTATACAGCACATTATCCGCGCGTTGGGACTTGGGTGACGTTAAAGATTGTTGTGTCAACTGAATGTGACACGCAGCCCAATGAATGTTGGCTAGGGCCACATACCCACACCCGTATCAGCCAAATCCACATGCTTGCATGGCAGAGGCTACTCGGTTCAATAATTATTTAATAAGTCACCGGAGCTATTAAAAATCATTTGCTAAACATAAGTTCCGATTATTTCATTGATTGCACAGTGCGGTTTGCTTATTGTGAGTACAGTAGAACATGCACTACAGTATAGACGCAGGTCACATTACGCGTGTGTGTGGGTGGTGGGCGGACTGGTGCTGCAATGGTTAGCACACTAGAATGAACCTTGCGACCTGAATGAAATCCGTAACCGCGGATAACATCAATGGGATACTGATGTCCTGGGCCGCCTCTACGCCAACTCGGCTTGAAACGAGTACCTGGTGTGGTACGTGAACATACGCGCAGTGGAGACAAAGGTGGCCGGGGTGGTTCTGGCCACACCACCCGTTGAAGCGTCGTGTCAGCCTTAATACAGGGTGTTTCAAATAGATGGACCCAATTTCAAGTAGTCCTAACGGTCTATAAGGCTAAATTGGGCATTTGTATAGTGTGTGGGTGTGTAGTATATATTTGTGGGGTTTATCTTACACTGTCTAATAATATAATGTAAAACAAATTGTTTACAGCCCTTTGTCAATCCACTGCTGCATGTCGTTTTGGTTATGGGGGCTTTTTGACCATACTTCACCACGCTGGTCAGTGCGTGTTGATAAAGAGGGGGGGGGCAGGGTCCAGAACCGGTTCAGAAGTCACTCTCCACTGATGTTAGGTGTGACCAGGCATTTAACTCAGATTTCTGAGTTCATCAGTGCGTGAACCACTGCTCCATTGCTTATTACATAATGTTATGAGATATGTTATATATTTATCATGACGAGCAGGATTGGAAGAGTTTATGTGTGTGTGCTTAAATGTGTCGTGCAGTCCAGACGTACGGAAATTCCTCCAACTTGATAACCCCCGGAACCAGACACAGGGGCCGATGGCTGATGAAGACCACATAAACATGGTATTGATTTATTACGTTACACAATCTAAATACGACACTTATATGCAGTAGGATTACTCTCATCCGCAGCCCTATTACCCTCGACTTCTATTATCTTGACCATCCCTTTTCCCAGAATTCATTTCAGGAAAATATTAACCGCAAATTTTGAATTGAATCAATTCACAAATACATTTGTGGATTATCGGATTCTCAAAGTCTTAACCCCCACGTCACTGCAGATAAGAGGAGTTCTCCTGAAGCAGTGTAAATAAAACTTAGATTTGATGTTTCACACAATGCCGAAACCGGAGGCAAATCCAGTGGTTCTGTCAAATCTTGTACGTTGATAATAATCTAAAATAAGCGGTCTATATTATTATAATATTAAAATCAACTCTATAATTTTACAAAAATTACGGCTTCGAAAGCAGTAAGGCAGCAGAATGTATCAGTGTTCTGTGGCTGGTAGATACAGTATATGAATTGTTGGCGTGCCTATAAAGAAAGCAGACAAAAGGGATTGTTTGGACAAAGAAGCAGAGGCAGATGAAATAACACCTCAACTGCACATAGGACCCGATCACTCAAACCGATCTGGGTTTATTGTGCCATGGGTTTGGACACCAGTACACCCCTTTGCTTGGAACACTTTCCATTACGGTGAAATATTTGATAAGGAGCGATCGTTTTTACCCATATACCTGTGCCAAAGCCCAGGTTGTCCTTGCAACCGGCGCTGTCGATTTCCCACCTATCATTACAATTGCACACGGTGTAACTCACTTAATCAACCCTGACAAGGTGAGACTTATGATGATGATGATGATACTGATGATGGGACTAATTTGACACAGATGTGGGTTTGAATGAATTACTTTGTAATCACCACACTAGTGCTCTGTTATGCAAGAACTGTATATCGTTCTTAAAGCTGCATATATATTTATTTTCACAGAATGATGCAGACCACATAAACTTGGGGCCCTCTGCAAATCTACAGTAAGTGCACAAACAGCTGTATTATGCTTGGCTTAGCAAATACTCAGTGACATAATGGCAGCTGGTAGTGAGTGGTTTTAATCCATTAGTCTGAGACACTTTTCTTAGAGTTAAAAGTCAATACCAACCACAAGCCAATATTGTCACGGTCTGTTTCTAAAGTGCTCCATCCGTTGTGAAGTTGTAATTTTATACACTGTGACATCATCTGCAAGAGTAAGCCATTATATACTAACATGTTCCATGCTTTGTAGAACGTATAAATATATATCTCCACCCAGGTTTCAGCAATTTTGCTGGTGACAGAATCATGCAGATGTCTTCCTTGTTTTTCTCACCACAGGGCAAAGCCGTCGGACTTTGATTTTCTAACCGTCCTTGGAAAGGGCAGTTTTGGAAAGGTACATCCCATAATGTAAACGATAATCTGCTTACAATCCATCAGTGTCTTTGGTATTCCATGTATTTATTAATATTGCTCAGTTGTGTATTCAACTTTAATGTTTTCTAACTCAGGTTTAAAGCATTGATGAGCTCTGTCTACAGCAGGTCATGATAACTATTGTAGAGGGCATCCAATGCAAATTGCATTTTGTATAAAGTTGTGCTCCTAGTACGACTTACCCTGTTGAAAACTGGCCAAATTGATCAAAAAAATGCCCAAAACTTGGTGATAAAAAACGAGCGCTAAATGGATAAGGCCCCCCGGGGCAAAGTCCATGACATCATACACCATGCTCATGCCTAACGTCGTCATGACATTGTGCGACTCGGACGGTAACGTTATTATCGCAAATTAAACACCTTCGAGGACAAACGCACGTTGGAAAGCGGTACAGAATCCATTGAAGTGCATCGTTTTCCTGTGTATAACTTTGCACGTGTGCTGCAATTGCGTGTAATTTGATCATCACTCCAGGACACTTGTAAACATTTTTCATTTCTTTGATAGGTATTTTTTTGTATCTAAATAGATGTATACATGTACAATTGTGGTGTGTGTGTGCATTTGAAATAGTGCCCACCAACAGGACACAGGGCAGTCAAATCATATGAGATGCCACGGGTTGTAGCTTATTGTGCTGCTGCTGATGAAAAACTTGCACGCACACACACAGTCCCCCTGCTTAACCTCCTTCCGTTCCTCTCTTAAAAGCTGAGCTCTTCTCTTTTGACCATTCCCTTCCTCTTCCCTCCCCTAACCCCTCCACTCCTTCCCGTACCTCCCCCACCCCTTCGTGATCCCAAAGTACCCTCTATCGCGGTCACTCATTACTCAATCTTTGCATGCCCCTGTCATCTTAAGCATTCTTCTGTTACCGTTTATTTTTTTTAAACGATGTCAAGCACCTTGAGTTTAGGCGCTCTATAAATGTAAAGTAAAATGGTAAATATGGGCTGCATACTGAAATAATGACGCACACACACACCCATACATACCAACACATCAAGTTTCAAGTTTGTGTAACCAGGTGAGAACTAAAGAGACCAGGAGACCATTTGCAAGAGTGAACTGGGTCACCAAAATTATGAAAGCAAACAACGAAATAGATTAATACATTGCAATGTATGTCATTCACAGGTTCTGCTTGCAAAGCACAAGAGTGATGGGATATTCTATGCTGTAAAAGTGATGAAAAAGTCAATAATACTGCAAAAGAAGGAGGTAATACTCTCAATTATTTTGATGAGCTCTCGCACACATGCTCAAAACTAAGTGCAAATCCAATTGCATCGTACAAAACAAAATGTTCTATTTAATATTTTTTTTAAATCCACAATTCCGGCTCTTTTGTGCTGGTGGCCATCGTAAGGTTTGTATCCGAACAGGCACAACAATAGTGATGTCATCATGCAGAGTACGCTGGGATTCCTGTTTGGTTTTCAATTGAAGACGTATTTTTACGTGTGGAAATATAAATGTGGAACACTGAAATTGCATTGCTCACACCACTGCTGCCGGAAGAGTGTCCACTCGAGGGAGGTGTAGGAAATTAGCCATTCTAATTACTGCACCGGGAAAGACACCAGGCGACCTCTGGATTGCACATCCAGTTTGTGACAATTTCATGATGGCTGCATACCATTTGCGTAAGTATAAGTAAATTGACCTTCTTTAAACGTGTGCGCGCATGATAGCGAGGAGCATTAGTGTCGCGGTAAGCACGCTGCGTTACGAATTTGGTGACCCGAGTTCGATTCCCGCTCGCGGCCAACACCAGTGACAAATATCTGAACCGGTCCTGGGCCTTCCCTAGGGCTGCTCAGCCTCAAATGAGTACCTAGTGCGTTGTGTAAATGTTGGTTGTGGTGCTGGCCACCCACCCCATCATGTGCCGTGCCGGTCTTCATAGACACTCGCTAACAGCACTTGCACCAACAGTCTGTTAATGCTATATGGGGGAGCTTTGCATGATTGTGTCCTGCTGCTATACTGCTGCTACTAGGAGAAGCACATCATGGCAGAGAGAAATGTCCTGGTGAAGAACGTGCGTCATCCTTTCCTGGTGGGCCTGCACTACTCGTTCCAGTCGGCAGACAAATTGTACTTTGTCATGGATTATGTCAACGGTGGTGAGGTGGGTACGAGGCATGTAGTGGTCCATCAAATCTTCAATTAAAATCAATTCTAAAACTCCTGATTATCTAACCAATATAGTACGTATATGAATCTATGGCAGTATTTGATTTACGCGGATTATAAACAACTGTCATGTTTATCGGACAGGTGGCTCAGTTCACATCGAGTGAGTGGCTCGCAATTGGAAGGTTGAGAGTTCATATCATCGCTTGATTCAGCCCATCGTCCCTCCAGGGTTGATAAAATAAACACCACTTTGTAAGGCATGAGCAGTGGCCGTCCAATGGATGGACTCGGCCATGCCATATCATATGGAATTTCCACCACTGTCTAAGAGCTGTGTACAGCATATTAACACTTTCTCAATGCTCATTTGAGCAGGAAATCACTTTGCCATTTTCTTTGTAATGATTAAACTGATGGAACTAATTAAACAGAAGAAACAGGATATACATGTTAATCATGATCCAGAATCGAATCACAATTCATGTGCAGTTTCAGCCTTTCAATTGCACTGCCATGTCTCTGTTTTCACTTTACAAAATCATTACTGCAGTATATATGTATACGCTGCACAATGAACCCAGTTTGGTTCCTGGCTATGGTGAGTGATACCTGAACCGGACCTCAGTCTCCCCTCTACCAATCCACACTGACCAGCGTGGTAAAGTATGGTCAAACAACCCTCATGACTGACATGGTGAAGGGAGACATTAATCCAACACTGGATTAACAAAGGATTGTGTTTTTTTATTGTTGATCAGTATACCTCATATACTGAGCTTGAAATAAAATGTCAGAAAAAGTGACACAGGCTTTTGTTCATGTGTATGTGTATGCAGTTAATTTGCTTTACCAGCCTGTGACTTAATTCAGTGATGCAGTGGTTTGTGCACCACACTGCATTACCAGCATCCCATGTTTAACTTATGGTAAAATGTAATGCTGGTGGTAGTGGCTGGCTTAACATTGGTGTGGGCCTCTTAAATATCAATTGCCACTGAAATTAATACCTGCAATGGCATGTAAACTCGACCAGTGTGGAGACAAAAACAACTGGGTGTCTTTCTTTTTCAGACGCAATTGATGCTCACTAACAGCCTGGGGTCTATCGAGGCTGAACAGATGATCTTTCACCTTGTGTGTGTGTTTGTGCTGGCAGCTGTTTTTCCACTTGCAGAGACAGGGAAGTTTCCCAGAATCTCGTGCGCAGTTTTACGCAGCCGAGATTGGCAGCGCAATTGGGTATCTCCACTCCTTGAACATTGTGTACAGGTAACCACGTAACACACCTTCACCCAGTCCATAACCACATCAACCCCTGTCATCGTCATCATAACGTCATTATCACCACCATCGTTATCAGTTTGAGGTGACTGTGTGGGTCATGGAGCCCGACGCTGTTCCTCCATCAAACAACCAAAGTTTGTTGCTGCTGGGAAACTGGTTTTGATTACTTGAGACATCAAAAATCAAGTCATCTCGTGGAACCAGCTTCTTATGTGCAGGGCATAGGTGCACCTCTGCAATTTCTTTCCTACGTCACTGCTGGTGGAGGGTACTTTGGTCTACTCTTCCACGCTGACCGGGCATGTTGCAGGAGATGGGGATACCCACACATTGCTCGCAACATGCGGCCTACCAACCGATTAACTTGTGGTGAACCAATTTATTCTGCTGGGTGGACAGAGCTCCGAGGGGGGGAGTTTAAGAAACTTGAACGATTGTTTCATATGCTATGCCTTTACACCGAATACACCCGCCGACCACTGGAATGTAAAGTTTAGTGCGCTTACCATGACACAAAGCATCTCAGCTTTCTCGTACAGAAATACCTCGATATGCGTACATTCGATAAATGAAGTTTCGGTGAAACAAACTTTTAATCAATTACGATTATTTTACACATAAAACGGAAACTAAAGTTAAATAATAAATTACACTGACATGGATAAAACATACATTTATAGATCGACAATACAAAATAAGAATTAAATTATAATAAGATGGATTGAGTACACTGTTTATTTTATGTAATTTTTCTTTCATTTTAATACTGTATCGTATAGAATATATTACTCTCAATATAAATAGTCTGTGTTTACAATATGAATGCTAAGTTATGAAGTATTTATTGTATGAAATGCTAAGTTATGAAGTATTTATAGTATGAAATGCTAAGTTATGAAGGCTGGGAACGCATCCTTCATAGTACTAATGTTATAAGTTACTCAAAATACGACGTTTGAATTCACGAATGAAGCTCCAGGAACACATCCACTTCTCATACCGAGGTATTACTGTATCATTCCAAAATTCCAGAAATACCAATCAACAAAGCCCGTCATAGCCACAAGGTGGCACTGCCTGTGGTCTGTGAGGATTAAACAGTCTTCTTTGGTTCTTTCGGTAAAGTCACGTAGAATGAGAATAAAATAATAAAATAATAAAATAAAATAACACAATAAAATTCTCACGACGTTTCGGCCACAATACAAGTGGCCTTCTTCAGGTGAAAGAAACAGACCTGTCGGGATGACAGAGCTTCAATGAACGTTGTTAAGATTCGTAGCGTCTTTTAAGCTGGTTTAGAGAAGTGGGGCACCTTGACAAAGGGGTTTACATATAAAACAGGAGAATTTAAAGATTGAACAGTGCTTTGCTCTTTGTCTTTTTACAAAACACACGTTAGAGCCACGCGAATCATTCATCGCTGGGATGTATTTAACCGAGTACACAAATTAAATAAATCTATTTGCAATTTTTTTTTCATAAGTATATACATCATTTCTTTAATTTATTTGGCGACCAAGCCATCGATTAATATTAATTGTTCATGTTTTTTGTTTGTTGTGGTTGCACCCGATTCAAGAGCCGAATGGCTCACAGGGCTATACCAAATAAATGGAACTATGAAAAAATGGAACTATGAGGCTGTCATACTCGCTGCAAAGCGCAATCACCTGTTCTGTCTCTGGCATTTGCTTGGGGCTTCAACCCAGGACCTGGGCCCCCTCACCTGCCTCCTGGTGCTTGTAAAGAACAGGGTCAAACAGCCCCCTTAAACGTTTACTGCCACGAGTGCTAATCTCGCCAATCGCGTAACCCCCCGGCTCCCTGGGACAGGTTTTTATGCTGATAGGTAAGATCACATACATCGCCTCTGCCAGTTCTTTTTTTTCACATGGAATGCTGTCCAAACCTGTCCGGATTGGAGGCAGTCCAGGAACAAGTAACAGACATCGTCGTGGGTTTTATGGTTTTTTGTGCTAAAATTTTCTCCCCGCATGCTTGCATGTGACACGTAGTTAGCAGCGTCGTGCGTGAGCACACGGGGGGGGGGCGGGGGCTCGTTTTACACCAAGCGTGACTTTCAGAGTTGAATGCAGTGCAAGTTCTGTGCCGCATTCAAACTCCAAAAGCAACGCTTAGCGAGCAATGAGCCCACGTGATCAGGGGCTCACATAACCACGATGCTCCATTTTTGACAAATTATAATGATTTAGGGACACTGCGTTGGCAGTGTGTTGCACAAGTACAAATACCAACAACAAAAACACATTTGTCAAAAACGCTGCCTTAAAAGGAAAACTTACATAACATAGGCACCGGGCCATCGTCACTGCATTTGTGAATCAAAATGTCGTTTAACTTGTTTATATAATCAGGTGAGAGTCTATGGAGCGCCACTATTTGAAAAAAACGTGATATTGGGTGACGATAATTATTTTGAATCATAATTTAGTATAAATTGCAATGGGTGTAACAAGCCATCGATTAATATGGATCCTTAAACTCGTAATATGTGCTGCGATACACGTGCGTGGGAAGTGACGTTTCTCTATTCGTATATATAGTGGCCGCCACTTTCATCATGTCAAAAACATTGTTGCTTTGATCACAATCCTGAATTGTGACAGTTTGTGAAATCGCTGGGTGAATGTTCATCATTATTACTCTTGCACGGCCACTGTCATCATTCACAAACATTTTCTCGTAACTGGCCTGTGCAACAACAATTAAAAAAAAAAGTAGCTTGAATTTTCCCCGCAGTAATTATGCGGTTAGCATGTGTGTTGTCGATAATGACAGTGTTTAAGTACTATCAGCCCGCAGCGGCAGGTGATTTAATAATTTTGGACGTGTCTTCGTGATTACAACATAACGTTTTCAGTTACTGCAAGAAGTAGGTGTGCTGTTTGGTGTAATTGTGGTGATTCAGGATCGCGCTTCGATCCAAGAATATTATTTTTGCCAATTGTGGTACGTTCAGTGCCTGTAGCAGCTACAGAGTTTACATTAACCAATTAGAAACAACATATATATGTTTTAAATACAAGTTTAGAGCCATTTGTCAATCCACTGTTGGATGAGGGCCTCTTCACACCCTGACATTTGGGTTTTGACCGCCAGAGTGGGTTGGTGAAGGGGGGGGGATGCTCAAAATCAGTTCAGATATCACTTGCCACTGATGTTAGCCTTGGGAAAGAATCAAAGTCAGGTAATGAGGTTCAACTCTGAATGTCTAATTATCAGCCATGATCCATCTACTGCTAGAAGAAGCTTCCACCATCTCTCATGGTCTTGCGATTGCCATGCAACAAGTCCATCTAGTTCCTGCATATACGATTTGATTAATCACTCCGTTTCTGCAGTAGACTTCCTTTTGGGCTTGTTCCCTCCTTTAGCTGCCATTCTGACATCTATGAACCAAAAACGATCAACTCTTCCCTGCACAATGCAATACGTAGATATATATGGAGAGTGAAAAAACTGATGTGAATCGATGCATAGCTACTTGCCTTATCATGAGTAGCTTAATTTGAAGCTTTCGTAACCGTAGGAATCCATACTCTTTGGTTCTTTTATTAGCTTAGTTTGATGCCATATATATTTCGCTGGGTTCCCTGAACAGCATGTGATGGACACTGTAGCGTGAGGGAAGTCATGTCCGTATGTTTAGGTTGTTAGTCTTTTATTTTTTTTACAATAAATTACAATTGTCTGATTTTGTTTTGTAAGGGACTTGAAGCCAGAAAATATCCTCTTGGACTACCAGGTAAATGGCACTCTCTGCACCATACGTAGCCAACCATGCTGTGATGTTGAATTTTTTTGCACCATACGTAGCTCACCGCGCTAATGGGAGGTGCTATTATTTATATTATCACCATTTTGCCACATTGCATTTGCGTAAACAAGTGAACGACAGTAAATGAATTACATACATGCTTTGTATGACTGTGTGTAACCCCTATGCCCGCCGAAATTCTAACTGCGTCCTGCACTTTGTCAGCTGTGCGATAATGCACCGCTCGTGACAATGCGTTTACATTTCGTTATCCCTTCTTCCGCTATCTTGAGATATTCATCTTCCCATAATGTCCGGGGTTTGTTTTTGTTTTACCTCAGAGGTGGGTGACCCTGTTGTGTATTACACGTATCATTAATTCGTCAATCAATTCAAATAGATTGTTCACGCAAGCTATATGCATTGAATGTTGGGTGTAAAAATTCATTTTTATATTGATTCGTGCAGCTTAGCTATTGGAGGGAAAAAGGCTCTACAAACAAGACGCAATGTAAACAAAATAATACAAACTTGACAAAATATATTGTTCATTCGAATCATAACTTTGAATAAATTAAATTAAAATCTTATAAAATGATGCATATAAGAGTATCACATTATAATTGTGACATATTTTCCATGCAGTTTATTTATTGTATAATCATAAGTGTTCTGTCTCATGGGGCCTTTTTGCCAGTATCAAAGTATGAAAAATCATTATTCTTTGGGTCTTTCGGTAAAGCCACGTAGATAGAAAAAATAAGAATAGGTTTTACCCTTTCTGGCAATAAAACAGGTGTTAAGATGTTCAAATATCAAATATAAACCTTTTGCAAGGAATTAAGTCTGCAATTACCACACGTACTTGCAGTGAACATGCAAACAAACATGCTCCGATAATATATGCATTGTCTTTGAAACTTATTGTTTGAAAGGGTAAAACCTGTTATAATTTTTTATTAAAGTGTTCTATTGCACGTTGCTACTTTAATGGATTTAATGCTGTATAGTGCGTTTTTTTTCTTCTAAATTTATTTAAGTTTTCTGCTATGGGCATGATCTCAGGAGATGGCCCCACTCCATTTGGAAATTTCACTGACCTTGTGTGTCAGGGAACGGTCCAAGGAAAAAAGGATTTTCGCAGACTTCCCAAAAATAACCTTAATTTGCCTTTTAGTCTTTACACAGTAGGGGGCACACTTCCCCATGTTCTGGCACATGAAAGCGCTGGAATTTAGCCAAATCAAGTGGAAAAACCCGAACTCAATTTGGTGGGGTTTTTCCTGTGCATCCACTGTGACTGGGCCGTGAGACACTCGACCCGCGACGGTTGGGGACGCGGTTTTAATCATGGGCAGCTTCCCAGATTCAAAACCCGAATCTCAGTCGTGCCAGCTCAGCGCTCTGGACTCTGTGAGCCACCCGGCTAACTCGACAATTTAAACTCATTTGGTTTCTCACAAGAATGTAAGCCAGGCATGGTGGTGCACACCTGTAATTTAGCACTTTTAAGAGGCGAGCATTGGTAGCTAACACATGTTTGTGAAACTACTAATCCCATTGACTGGGCTTAGATGGCCAGAAGATGGCAGTACTGCACGTAGATTGGACCCATATGTTGTGGACCTTCGAGTGTTATTCCCGCAGATGTTTATCATTTGTTATCCTTTCGTATATTCTCCAGACATTCCAGTGTTCTCCCATTAGCCAAACACTATTTGGCCAATCGTTCCCGATGTAGGAACCACCTGAAAAATTGTCCTAAGACTCAGTGATGCATTTCTGGATAAGTGAAGGTGGGGTCATTATTTTTCTTTTTAATCGGTCTGAGGGATACCTCTCTAGACCAAAATGCTCCAGCAGTGAGGCGTGTTCAGTAATGATGTAAATGGCAATGCGTAATGGAATATTTCACCGTGTGATGTCGGTTTTATTGTTGTTGTTGTCACGCAGGGCCACATCGTGCTCACCGACTTTGGGCTGTGCAAGGAAGGCATCGACCCTCACAGCACCACCTGCACCTTCTGTGGGACCCCTGAGGTGTGGTGTCGAGCGTTTTGTTGGGGCATCTTTGTTAGATTTTTTTTACAAGATGAATGTGTCCGTTCTGATTTTTTGTGTGGGCGTGATTCACCCATCCTGTGTTTTACAGGACTCGTTTTGCCCATTTTATACCTCAAACCCATTCTTGCAGTCCTGCATTTCACAGGAGTGTGCCCTTCCGCCCGTCGTGTTTTTATAAGTGCTGCTATTTAATGTAATGCATGGCCTTATCATTAGCAAGTCAAGTAAAGCGTTTGCATAAACTGTACCTGCAGCATAAAGACAAAGATCTCGTTGTTATTTTTATAGACTTGTGAAGAGGAAGTGCTGTTACTGAGCACCTATTTTACATATATGGAAAATTCATTAAAAAATAAAAAAAACGTACTGCCCTTGTCAATCCACTGGGGGATGAAGGCCTCCATGTTCCCTTTCGTTTATGGGTATTTGTTTGACTATGTTTGATAGTGTGCGTTGCTGAAGAGGGTGGGTACCCAGCTTCTGGCATCACTCACCACTGATGCCTGCTGTGGCCAGGAATCGAACTCAGGTTGTTGGCTTTCATAGCACAGTGCACCAACCCGTGCGTCAATGCCAAAGTAAATTCACGGCCATGGCTAGCATCAGTCGTGGGCGGGACCGAAACTGGGACTGTGCCTCCCATTCACCAATTCTCATGAACCAGAGCGGTGAAATACGGTGAAGCAACTGCCATGACTGGCAAGGCCTTCACCCACCAGTCTGTTGACAAAAGGGTGCAAATAGTAATTCAGTCACTACTCCTCGCGTCGGACTTTGCACGTGTTTCGCATTTTGTGCACCAGTATTTGGCACCCGAGGTTCTGAAGAAGCACCCGTACGACCGGACGGTGGACTGGTGGTGTCTGGGCTGCGTGCTCTACGAGATGCTCTATGGGCTGGTGAGGGTCTCTCGCAGACGACACGCGCACGAGACCACCACCACTACTACACCTCCGATTGGCACAGTTGGATACGTACGGTGTGAAAGAAGTTAAACATACACACATACCACCACCGCTACCACCACCACCATGCTACTTTCCGGACTCAGCATATTACACTCCAGCTTGCGCGCTCATGCACCCAGCACGGGAACAACTGTCGAGTTCAGCAATACTGACACAGGAATCATAACCGTGATAGCAAAGGTGGAAAAGAGCTATATAGCTCAGTGGGCCTTACTTGGTAAAATACAAAAATTGTTCATTATGCGAGTGACAATTGCAGTAATCATACCGCTCGCGCTGTGCGTACGTCATGCAACAGGGCCTTGCCTCTGTCGACTTCAAGGTGACGTCGATGGGTCGTGGTGTGTTTCCGTGCGTGCGTGCGTGCCGCAGCCTCCGTTCTACAGCAAGAACCTGAAGCAGATGTACGAATCGATCCTGCACCAGCCGCTGCAGCTGAGGCCCTGCACCACAAACGCGGCGATCTCCGTGCTGGAGGGGCTCCTGCACAAGGACCCACACCAGCGGCTGGGGGCCACCAGCGACATCGTACGGACGCTGTGCCACTGCAATAGGCCTTTTCACGTCAATCGCTGCGGCGTGTTCCACCAAATGGACCTCAGTTCATCCCATGGCAACCTCACGGACACAGCACAAAGATTTTTATGCCAGTGAATTTCATAAACATGTTGGGGAGGAGGGGAAAGATGGCGCGCGCGGTGGTTAGCGCACTGTGCTACGAACCCAGACATGGGTGATATCTGAACTGGAGAGAGATATATGGAAACAGAAAATAAATAAATAAACGCTGCCAATTTGTCATAATCGTGAAACCAATGTACCTTTGCGGTATTGCTTTACAGGAGCAAATACCTGTGGGATTTAGATTAAGCTCATGTGCCGAAATACTCAATATAATCGTGGTTTTCTTTCATGAATACCGTGCAGCTTAACGTGCTGAGCTCGACACAGTGAATCTGTCACACCCTTCTTCTTGTCGCAGCTGGAAATTAAGAACCACGTGTTTTTCTCCACGATCAACTGGAATGACCTGGATGCAAAGAGAATCCCTTCTCCGTATAATCCCGGCGTGGTGAGTTAATACAGACAATACCACGGAGATATCAAATGTGTATATTGCAAGACCAGCCACAGTGTGGTCCAAAGATCCCTTCTCAAACTAAAAGAACTTGCTCAAGTTGGAGGCTTCAATTTTACTGCCAATTTTTCCTTTGTACCTCTGCCCAATGGCAGGTCTTTTGGCTGCCCCCATCTGTATCGAGTGTGTCTTCTGCACTAAAGACATAGAAAGCCTACAAGTAATTAACCCCAATTCTGAATAATATCGCTAAGTGTGATGAGAATCATTTTCTAACTTTTGTTACGTGTTATAACATTGGCATAACATGTCCCACTCTTGCATATGACAACTTCACAGGGTCTTTTACCTTCCTTCCTGAACCAAACTGGTGAGTTTGCTTAGGGCAGACTCAGCCCTTCCCCTAACTGAGCTCAATGAAAAGAGTACCACTCTGTGGGAAATCGACAGTCATTGTCCTTTGAATAATACGTTTAATGTCCCCCCCACTGAATAAGAGCCACTCATGGAGACGATCAATGTCGAATGAAAGTAGCGAGGCCTTTTAACCTGACTTTGTGTCGTTGAATATTTCAGCAGAAAGCACCGGGCAGCAGTGGAAATTCACGTGGCCACTGTAAACTGTGTGGGTGAATGTGCTCGCCACTACGCCACCACCCAACCTTGTGTGTGCTTTTGTCTCTTCAGAGTGGACCATGTGACCTGCACAACTTTGACCCGGCCTTCACAGCGGAGCCGCTGTCCATGTCGATGGCACAGTCGAGTGACACGAGCTCCGTCTGTGCCAATGTGGACGAGGCTGCGGACGCCTTTGTGGGATTCACATACATGCCTGGCCTCGAGGACCAGTACCTGCCAGATGTGTAGGCAGAGAGAACTGAGTCGGTGTCGTAATCCTTATCATTGCAGTAGTGATGAACATCATCGACGAGATCAATGTCAGGGCTTAATTTTTGAATGGAATATTTTCTGGTGTCCCAAACTCCCAACCACCCCACCCAGGTACCTCGCCATCTCACCTCCTCCTGCTTCCCCATGATGGCCAGGGGAGAGGGTGCTCTGTGATCAATATCCTTAAGGTCATATCCACCGTCACCCTCTTCAATATAATCTTCTAACGCATCAAATCAATATCACTTTCAAACAATAATAATATTGGGGAAACTAAGCGATATATCTCGGACCGTGTTCGTGAACATAAGGCAGATCTGAAACACGGTAGGACCAATACCTCGGTCGTGGCTGATCATTGTTTTAATGCGGTGGGCTCACACGAAATTGATTTCTCTAAGACGATGGTACTTTGCAAGTTCACTGGCTATCAACAAAGATTCGTTCATGAAGCCATCCATACATAGAGACACAGACACAGTTTCAACCGAGAAGATTGGTACAAACTGAGCAATCATTGGAAGGGCGTTATTAACCAGTTTTAAGTCATAACTGGCTGTGATGTTTCCATCCTACTTGCCGATGTTAGCAGTTATTTTCGACTCTCTAGTTTTACATTAACAGGTTAAATGTCTCACACTAACACAGCCACCGTTGTTCATGTCCTCGATGTGGCGGTGGCTCTACGATCTTACATTGACATGCTAATCTCTCACAATACAATGACCACCTCCGCAGCTTCGTCGTCATGGAGGTAGCTCTCCGACCTTACATTTACCTGCAAATTTCTCACTTTTTGTTATTTTCTTTGAACCAATCTACGTGACTTTACCGAAAGACCCAAGAATAATAATATAAAAGTTTATCAGAAGTGCTTACATCATGAATGTATTAAATTGATCAATTGTAGAAAATTATCTTTATGTATAAATCGGATTAATCGACAGCCATTGAAAACTAAATGTTTGTATACTGGGCCACCAGACTGTCAGAAACTCCCCACAGGGTGTGCCCTGTACGATGCGGTGAGCATCAACGATGTCATCAATTCCCGTCCACCTCTATCCGGTGCGCTTAACAGACCTTTTGAGGCTCGTATGCGAACTTATTTGTTCATGCAATTGGCACACAAATCGTATGCCCATTTCTAATTCTACTCGTTGAAGTTGCAATAAATCAACCAATAGTTGCAGGACTAACCTTTACCATCTCCAATGTCATAATAATCAGCAGTCACCTATCAAAATACATTTCAATTAAAATTTTATATTACTACAGCTTATTACTACCCTTACGTTCGGCTCTTAATGGAGAGAATGAAAGGAATCTACTGACACTTATGCTGCCACGGTGGTAATTGCACACTGGACTTGAAATCCAGAGATCGCTGGTTCGATTCAATCACCTGGCACGACAGTTGAAACAATCCAAGTTTCTTCAATTCCCCCCCCCCCCACGGCTCTGGGTACAGCACAGTCGATTGTCAGATCATATGTGGTGGCGTAAAATGTGGGTACTTCCACATCTTCCAAGACGTCTTATCAGCATGGAAGAGTAGGCCGCTACTACTTTCTATAGGGAGGCTTTGTCGAGGAGACTTTTCAAGTGGAGGCCCAACCACCAACAGTGGCCTGAGCAAGCAATTGCAAGGCTGCACCTTTACCTTCTACGATTTATAAACATCGTTAGAAGAACCTTATGGCGGGATCCCGGGGTCCCGAAAAAACGGAAGTCAAAATCGTAATTAATTTATTTTTGGCGACTCCGTTCCACCGCGCTCATGAACGCCGCGACCCACCTGGCGCAGATCGTTGTGTTGTCATGTCATGTCCAAGCGCAGCAGCGAGGACGAATGCGCAGAAGAAACCAAACTTTTAAACTTTGATTAGCGCATGGTGTAGAGCTCGTCGAGAGGAACAGATTGCCGTGTCGTTCGCCTTCAACAGACATAAAATGTCGCAACGCAGTTTATGCGAGAGCCGGGGGCTTATGGGACCCTGGGGTCCCGCAATAAGGTTCATGTAATGATCATGAATACATTCAAATGTTGGAGCTCCTGCTTGTGATACTCTACTGCTGTGTGCAATATTTACTCTGTAACATTCGTTACCGCATCTCCTCTTTGCATATTCTACCACGTGCGTTCCACCGACTAGCTGACATTCCGTTTAACACTTCTTCCAGCAGCTCCGTCCATTTATTTCTGATGCATGAATTCACAAATGTGGTATATACTCAGTCCAAACCACACACTTTTGTGTGTATATATTTAACACTAATTACGGATATTTTTTTCAGCTGGAAGAAGTAAATAAGAACAATTTAAGTCTGTGTACTGTTTCCCTTTTATGGTTAGAATTTCAAGATATCAGTTATTCGTTTAATAATCGTGTGCAAAGATTGTATTAACTAACGTGTAAAATTGGAGTCAAATAACATTGTTTTGTTCGGTCCATTACTTTGTTATCATAAGACTTGTTTTACCGATGGCAAATACTTGAATCAGTAATGCCGAGCACATGTGATTGTTGATAGTTATTCAATTGTGAAATGCATTTTCTATATTAGGCTCTGCTTTTTGTAGAATACACATTCCATCCTGCTTTGCTCATGAACTCTGCTTTGTGAACAAATGATACTTGCGCCATTATGTGCCTTTCAGAACCATTCTGTGCGCTCTAAAGAGAGGCTACGTGCGGTGTTTGATTTAAATCGTATAGTTAAAGTACTAAGATTACCGCAATAATATACATTGTACCAAAGACACATTGTTACACTGCAGTTATATGAAATATCATTATCACACTAATGGTGTTGAGTGGGGAAACAGTGGTGAGCACTTCGCTATACAGTGTGCTTTAAAAAAATGTTAACACTTACGAGATTTTGCAACAATACCACGTGACATGAGCTGCTGCCTTCGGTCTCTGGAGACCACCTGGAGAAGGTTCCAGGCCACGTGTTGACATTGATGGCGAACAAGTAGAGACTCTTTTACTTTTTGAAGCTATTAACATTACATTTGTTATCATATTACAGTGTATTTGTTCTTTTCCATTAAAAACGTTAGCCTCATGTAAGCGTTAACATGTTTTTGAAGCACCCTGTATATCCAGCGTCCTGAGTTTTAGTCTTAGCCACACCTAATGTCAGTGGTGAGTGATATCTAAACCGGTCTTGCCCTCCACATCCATCCCCAGAAACCGGCATTGACCAGTGTGGTCAAGCCTGCTCCAACAGCTCATGTGACCGACACAGCACAGAGAAGCCCTCCACCCAGCAGTGAACTGTTATGGATGACGATAATTATCATAAATAATTACTATTATGCTACGACTACCATTCCAGTTGCATGTATGTTGAACTAATTTCGCATCGTACAACCAACCGGAAGAACAAAACACAAAAAACTGCTCTCAAGAAATGAGTTTCAATCTAGATTTCAAAGTGCATAGCTCCAGTGGTTTCCTAATAACGGAAAGAACGTTCCAGACGGCCGCAGAAGCGCATCTGAAAGTGTGCAATGCGGTGATGGGCTTTTTGTCGATGGTTAGCCAAAAGCGGCTGCGACGATGACCGGAGTTCAGATTTAGCATATTTAATACAAAAATACGATTAGAAAAATAGTAGAAAATACAATTGACGTATATATTTGAAATGTTATATTAAAACCCATAATGATAAAAAAAATATTAAATCCAACAAGAGCACGCAACGCAACAAGCCATTGCACATCGTTACAATTCCATATGATTAAAATAATGTTGCATTCCGTCAATGTGTGGACCTCGCGGAAGAGACCTGTGCAGGTCCGTGAGGTGGTGGTTACATGTGATGAAAGAAATGTGCTCGTCAACTAAAAACAAGAGGCATACACGAACATAGGGACACGGATACTTGCAGCAGGCAGCAATAACCTTGCTCTCAGAGATAACATGAAGCACTGCTCTGTATACTCACCTGAACCCATCTGTAGCAATGTGCAATAGCAATTATGATTTCTATTTTCTCAATGAGAATCTCATGAAACGTAAGTTTGATGAACTCGCATCCATTAAATAAAGATCAGAGGTACGTATTATTGAAAATAAATTGTGATCATGGCAATTGGTTGTGTAGTAACTTTAAGATGTATAAATGTGTTGTTTCAGTTGATATTATCACGTGTTGTACTGAGTTGATCATCGCACACGATTGGGAGTGCTTAAAATAAAGTATGATACATAATAAACAAGTTATATCTAAAAGGGGCAATGCACATGTAATTACACACGTGTTTATTTTTTGAGAGATGCCTGCGGCTCTGTGGACCGATGTTTGTCACAGGGCATTGAGCCATAATCTGAGGCTCTGGGTTCTAGACGGAGGTTGTAGCCCCATGAGTAGGATTAACATCCCAGCCCCGTTACTGATAAGCTGCAAAAACATGATCCTGAGCTGGCTGCGAGTCTCACCGATGCAAATGTCGGTTCGCAGAGCCAGCACTTGAGAGATCCTAGGTTTCGATCGATGCAGCCACCTGCGATGATTAATCGAGTTTGTCAGTTGTAGTGAGTTAATTGTCAGACTCGTGGTCACTTATATGAAAATACACGAGCTTTACTACATACCAAATTTCAAGTTTGTTGCATGTTGGGAAGCATGCTAAACATTTTGAACAGACACATTCACAAATTTCCCTTTTATATTCCCAAATTTCCCTTTTATATATATAATTACTGTTGGTGTTTCCTTAATTCTTGCAAGCTATATTTCTGAGGACTAAATTATAAATAGCATGGGGCATTTTCTTTTTCAAATCCACGAGTCTGATGATTGTGTGGGGTCGACTGTTCAGATGTTCTCTCGCCATGTGCGTCTGTCCTCTCTGCCTCTTCTCTCATCACATCCACTGTCGTGTCCCATTCCACCGCGTCCTTCCATCCCACTCTCGGGTCTCCCTCTGCTCTTTCTGCCCTGCACCAGTGGCATCTCCACAACCCTTCTCATTACATCTCCTTTTTTCTTCTCAACACGTGCTCACACATTTGTAATTATAATTGAGAATATTAGTAACCACTGATAAGGTTCTTAACGTCTTCATTTTGCCTCCTTTCCCTCGGGAGATATTCAGATATTACCACTATCCCAGCGTTCTCATCTCCGCCCTTTCACGTACTTTTAATTATATGTAACTAAAACGTTACGTTCAGAAAACGAGTGTGCACTTCCTGGACTTGGATGAGGCCATATATAACAGCTATGTTTAAGTTATTCCGGCACATCAATGCAGTAACATACTTACGGAGTGACTCTATGCTAGGTGTGATAAATAAAAACGATGTTTATTTGCCGCATAATATGAAGGATAGCCAGACTAGGCATATAGTTC